ACACACACACACACACACACACACACACACACACACACACACACACAGGCATCCCATATACAACGACCACTTTTATCTACCGACGACTGGTCTCTCGGCCGACTCAGCCTTCGAAGCGCGTTTGCTAGCAGAGCCGGTAAAAGACTGGCGTTAATGAATTTAAAAGTATAAATATAAAGCCAATATAGACCCAACTTTTTTAAGCATCACGCTCTTGAAATGATTGGATAACATAATATAACGTATACCCCCTCCCCTTCCCTCACACACACACACACACACACTAGAAAAATGAAGAAAAATAGAGGAAGATCAGATCGAATCTTTGGTTCTGATACTTTCAAAGTATCGATATTTTAATATTGTTTATACATTTATTTGATTATGAAATCTAAGATTAATAAATTTAATAAGCCTGAAATGTGTTCTGATATATTACTAATGGATTAAGCAGTGGATAAAGTGATATCGAATATATGTCGAAAAATGATGCTATTTAATTGGAATCAGTTTAGAGAGTATGTAACTACTAATAAAAAATCGATTAGAACTTTTATTACGTACAGTAATATGTACATGCATAAATTACATGCATAATTCTACTCGATGCTCTTAAAAGTGGTTGGCTCACAAGTCCGACTTTGACTCAAGCGACGTTTCTCTTTCTTGGACATCATTCAAATAAATATTATTCATGCTTAATCGAAGCTTGAGTGATTACATGTTTTTTTCTAGATTTTTGTATTGCGTTTTCAAACATCCGTTAACATAACATCTCTTTCCGTATATAATAGTCGGTACGTTAGTAACACACGCACTAAATTACTTGTTTAAAGTTGATAATCTTTGAAGATAATGCATTCTTCCTAACGAAATATATAAACAAATATACGCCATGACTTGAAGGTATTTCCATTTTTTAGCCAAGATATATAGCGAACGCTGCCGTGCAAAATTCCGGTAAATATCTATAGTCGCTAGATGAGCAGCATACATCGGCGGATGATTAACGTTCACCAAGTTTAAGCGCCGCAATTTCCAACGTCGGCACTGTCGCGCAAGTTGCTAGATAGCTTCGACTCGGCGCGGCCGTACCGAGTTAAGTCGAGCCGAATCGAGTCGAGTCGAGGCAAACATTACCTCATCGCCCGGCAGAGCCGGATCCACCGTGAACCTTCTCCACTTAGGATTTTACTAGCCGCGCGCCGTTACTACCTTGCGCCACTGCCGCGCGCGCGTCATGCTCACAAAAACGCTCCTTTCTCAGCCAACCAACGGATGGACCCGCACCGCGAGAACAGCGCGCATATACATACATACATACATACATACATACACGGAGATATAGATGGGGGTATCAGAAATACTTGTACAAATTTTAAGGGTGAGTTCTCCACACATAAACAAGAAAATAAGGTCTTATAAACATATATCCGGAAATGCTTGGTTTATCGTTGATCAAACATAAATAACGATAGAGGACAGAGCCGCAACAAGGTGTTCGCGTTAAATTATTTTTATTTTTAATAGATATTGTCCAACACTATTAAAAATAAAAATAATTTAACGGATTCGTCGCGAGATTCCTTTACTTGTAACGCATCACCCACATTGGTTCGAACCGACGAATTTTTTTGGAGATGATCTTCACTTGTGTACCTTCCGATGATTTATGTGGTTATCCAAATACCGCAACGCATCTCGGGTTACCACATACCCCCTCGTCTCGAATTTGGATCGCGATAAAACTTGGTCAGGCCAGGTTTTATTTCCTATGTTTCCGTTATTCTTCTCTCGCTCGCTTAACGCCTGTTGCTTGCTCGTGGCGAATCCCGGTCGTTTTATTACTCAACGTCAAAGTTGCCGCGCGAAATCTGTGATTTCCTTTATACTGTATACTTAAATATTGATATCGAAGTGAGTTATGTGCAGTAGGTCGACCTCGTGAAAAACTGTGTGTGACGCGCGAGTATCCTTGCGACTATTCGTGACACCGCCACTGGGGGCCTTTAATATCGTTCAGCAATGAAAGTTGAAGAAGGCGTTTTATCCAACGCACGCGTCGGAATGCACGGGTGTTGTATAAAATAGCGGTCGCGATCGGATGAGAGAGCCGACCTATATCACGCAAATTGTATAAAAGAACCAAATAGCAATGATACATTGCGAAATGACCGTCACGTTTTAATCGTGGAAGCGAGACCCTTATGTAGCTTCGTATTAACCCCTGCCGTCTGCCGATAGACTCATCGTCAGAGTTACGAGGTTTAGAAACGAGATGCAAGTAGCAAGGATTTCACAAATGGAAAAGGAGCGTCGGGGCGTGATGTTTCTCTCAACTTTGATTTACAGCTGGTTAAGAACCGCGTATTATCGCCACATACAACTAATCCCCTCCATCAGTGTATTTCCTTTTCTTGTCCCTCTCTCTCTCCCCCTTATTATCCTATCTGTACGTTGCCTCACCCTTGTTCTCTCCAATCACCTAACCCCTAACCCTCTTTCGCATCGGTCACCCTATCTGTTTCTCCTCCCGCGTCTTGTGCCTCCTCGTCCTTTCCCTCGCCCTCGCACTTGCTTCTTTCCCTAACCATCTTACCTCTAACCGTCCATCCATTTCTCCTGCCCCCCTTTTCCGCACTATTCTCTACGTTTTGCTCTAGTCTCTCTCTCTCTCTCTCTCTCTCTCTCTCTCTCTCTCGCTCGCGCGCGCGCGCACCTCCTTTCCCGTCACCCCAGGTCCCTCTTGTTCCCGTTCCCGTTTTCGTTGTCGATTCAACAAGTGCTCGGTCACGCTTCGCAAATATCGCACGTAAGAGGAGGAGACGCCGGAGATTACGGCCGCATCCGTAGTCGGGCGCGCGCCCCATTCGCCGAGTTTCGCCGAAATTTTCAAGTACATATCCGGAACGTATTCCTCGTGTAAGGTGTTCGAGAGACAACGACCAAGTTTTCCCGATCAACGAAATTATTAACCCGCGTTATGCGTATCCCCTCGTTTTCTCACAAATTTATCTCCCTTCCAACACATTTTCACGACACGTAGAGCAATGTGCATGGAGATCTACTCACTTTGAATAGACTTTCTCGTAATAATTTAAAACTTGCGAATCGTTTCAACAATTCGCATGAGCAATTATTCGCGCGGCATAATCTATCAGAGCGTGGAACAAAATAAAAGTGTCAGAGTTTTACACACACACGCACACACATATATATATAAAACTCTGCGTTCGATAATAGGCAAAGTATAATCATTAGACTTTAATCAACGTTAATTTTTTGAACGATTGAATTAATTTTATTCACTCGTTTCAGATTCGCTCAAAACGGCTTTAGATTCCCACTCAAAACACTCGCAAAGTGAGCTGTTGTAGCGAATGTCGCTTTTAACTTGGAAAAAGAAAGAAAAGTTGCTGAGAAAAGAGGTGGCGTCATTCTCTCGGTGTTAGAAGGCGATATTAGATCCGTCGCGTCGTTTCGATCCTCCGCGATGATTCCACGAACGTTCCTCAGAGCTCCGAGCTCCGAGCTCCGAGCTCCGAGCTCCGATCTCTGAGCTGGCCGGTTGACCACGTCGCGTTGGAAGGAGAATCTCCGCGAGCGAGTCATATTCCAAGTAGGCCGCTACGGCCGGCTGCGGCGGATGTACACGGTCACAAGAGCGAGTCGTTGCCGCTAGAGACACTCGAGTCAGCCCAGAGACGTAGTTACGCGTGGCAAGTAGAAAACGCATTTCGAACTAGAGTTCGCCCAAGTCTGCCGTCTTGACCGATAAGACAAACTGGGTCACTCTCAGTCGAGTATAAAATTACATACAAATCCATGTTGCTTCGGTTGCGAGAAGCTGAATAGTGTCGGCACACACGCAACATATCTCGTAATTACGCGATAAATAAGTTCAAATCATGAACAAATTACGATTTATCGACTTTTTCCGACTTGATCGAATTTAGAACTTCTTGTTGATCTATGGAATGATGTAATAGAATCACGCGGGATCTCATATATATATATATATGAGTGTGTGTGTGGAGAAAGAGTATAGCGATAACAGAAACGTACGTTCGCGTGTCGTATTGGCTTTGCCTACAAGCCTCCGGTCCGTCGTTCACCACAAGCTCGATCATCACATCATTCACTACCGCTGTAGCGGAGCCGCGCTATCAGCGCAAGCTTGAGGCGGCGCGGTGTTGGTAATGACGCGCGGACACCGAGTTCGATGGAAACGCGGTGACGTTTGTTCTCCCCGAGCCATTAGATCGCCCCGTTCGCGTATGAAATTCGCTTACAAAATGTTTCAAGCGCGCGGTTTCGTTTCATTGTGAATGGGCGGATACACGTACATGTAAAAATATTAATAAAATTCTTTTAATATTTTGCTGGCCGCGCTCAGCATAGTGGTACGACGAACGCCTTGCGGCCGCTTAAAAAAATTTTTGCTTATTCGTCAACATCTTTCAATTTTTCAGAACTAAAGGAGCGCACGAGTATCAAGCCGAAGACTCGACTGTCAAGGTGCTAGAATAATTTTATTTCGCAGTTGTCGACTTTCATAAAATGAAAGACGCTTGTTTTTTCTTGAGAGAGAGAGAGGGGGGGGAGGGAGGGAGTAAGAGAGAGAAGGAGAGACTTTAAATTTGATAAGCCGTAAGTTGCAAACATTCGGGATAAGAATAGTATTCGCACAACTATTTCTAACGCGAATTTATGAAAGTTGTGCGAATTATCAAAGTTTAGTAAGTGGCAATTCGTTCTATAATCGAGTCGAGCGACGGAAGTCAAAGAGACGATAATCGACTTCGGTAATGAGATTAATCGCGTGATTGTGAGGAAGGGGTTCGCATCTTCCTTTATTTTAATAATAAATTTTATACGTCTGTGTATTCAGGGGGCCAAAGTATCGTCGTTACCTTTTTAGGTCGACCTGACGACTGTCGGCGTCACTTTTTCGTCGGCCCAAAGTAGCAATCCCAATGCCTTTTTTTTCTTTGTGTGTGTGTGTGTGTGTGTGTGTGTGTGTGTGTGTGTGTGTGTGTGTGCGCGCGTGCGTGCGTGCGTGTGTGCGTGTGTGCGCGCGCGCGCGCAGTGTGTTTCGGAATTGCACGACATATTTTAAGGGAAATATTTTCTAGGTCGAAATGAACAAAAAAGTTTATATAAACATATGTCTCAAACTTATTTATTAGCAAAGGCCTGAGCAGAATAGCTGACTTATAATTTTAAGACAATGTTTTATGCTTTAAATCTTTGTTTTTAGTGTCGCACAATACTGTCTTGTGTCATCTTAAACGTATGCACGAAGTGTTAATATTTGTAAGACTTGAGACACAAGAATGTATTGTGTGTTACTAAAAACAAAGATCTAAGGTCTAAAACATTGTCTTAAAATTATAAGTCAGCTATTCTGCTCAGGCTCTAAGAGATATTAATGAGTAAAAATTAGGATTAACAGTAAAATATTTTAAGTATGTTTTCGAAATGGCCGCGTTTTGTTGAACGCCGTTGGACTATTTTCTATGGGGTTGGATGAAGTCTTTAGTTTATTGTAGATCTATTGGCACGCAAGAAAAATTAAGAAATCGCATAATGGAAGCTGCAGCAACTATCAGAAATAATACTGATGCCATAAGACGTGCCAGAGAAACATGGATACATCGTGCTAAATACTGCATTTAACAAAATGGTGGTTAATTCGAAAACATACTTTAAATGTTTTACTGTTAAACATAATCTTTACTCTTTGTTATTTTACTAATGTATATATAAACTTTTTGTTTATTTTGACCTAGAAAATATTTCCCTAAAATAGTGCCATGCAAATCTGAAACACTCTATATATACATATATATATATATATATTTTTTTTTTTCGCTTTTCTTTCCTCCTTTCGTAAAATCAAACGTCATGTGGAAACCACGTGGATTCGGTCATCCGACAAACATGTTGCTGGTGACATCTCACGGCATCTCCGAGCACAACTGAACTGAACACGCACACCGTGGCGATACATTCCCCTCTCTTCCCCTTTTTCATCATTGCCATCCTCTCTCCCTTCTAACGCTCCCTACTCCGGGCCTCTCTTTCTCACGCTCTCGCTCACGCCAGCAGAGAAACGCGTCTCTCCGTCTCCCGAGGTGAGCAAGGGTTTGGTGGGAGGAACGATTATTTACTTACTTTCACTCGCGCGACCTCGTACGCGCGTAAATCATCCACGGCTGCGTGGGTACTGCTTTCGTAGGGTCCGCGACGCCAAGATACGCACGCGAGTGTTTGTCCCACCCTACGATTGGCAACGAGACCAAGAGAAATTGTAATCTCGGGATTCTCGGGATGTCCTGACCTCATTCTCAGTTCGCGAAAAACGCATGCAATTTTTAAATAAACAGAATAAAATTTGATGATGTTTAACTATAAAGATTCAGATTTTTTAATTCAACTAAACTAGATACTTATATTTATAAACTTCCTCTTTTATTGGAGCAAAAATGTTTTCATTACCAAGCTGTCTTACAGCTTACAAAATTAAGCATTTGTCGAAAAAATAGATACAGCTTCTCTTTGTTCCGCATATAGGTTTCTCTGTCGCAAGATTGTCAGCGAACGTTTCTAAAGTACCGCCGCTAGAAATCTTGTGGCCAAGCCCCGCTCGCCAGCGAGCGGTCGTCTGCGTTCCGCTGATGATTTCTTCCAGTCAGGGCTAGGGAGTCGCGTGACGTCACTTTTTCCATCGCTCGGACGGAGTGCCGAGCGTCTGAGTCACGTCCTCTCGTGCCTACTCTCTCGCCTTCGAGCGCCGCGCAAAACGTGCCCATTCGACTTTGTTGCATCAACATCGACGAATAACTTGAAAATAACGCTGATTCTTAACAAACTTACAATTAGTCGTAACAGCTCAACATATAAGATGATGGAATTACAACTAGAAATAGCTATGTCTTTTATACAGACAGAGCTGAATGTGCGCAAAGAAATACATGGAGCTAATGTTAGCGATTTATGGGTGCTTTCAGAGTTGTGCAATGATGGGTCTGCAGGCGACGGCAGGAAAACGCAAATTGGAGGGTGGTGTCGGCTGTATGGAATTCCACATGGATTTAGGCGAGAGTCCGTCAAAGCTTGGACGCGTTGACGGTAGCTGGTGGGCGATGGACGACAGTTACGGGCCATCCCTGAATCAGACGTCAACGTCGTATTATGAGATGGAAGTAAGTTCGCCCTGCCTACAGGCGACGAACCCGTGCCAGCCCTCGACGAATTCATCGCAGTCTCAGCAGCAACAGCAATCTCAGCAACACCCATCGCAGCATCATCCATCTTCCCAATCGCCACAACAGGCACAGCAGCAGCAGCAGCAGCAACAACAGCAGCAGCAATCACAACAGCAGCAGCAGCAGCAGCAGCAGCAGCAACAACAACAACAACAACAACAACAATCGCCGGCATCACCTTCGACGTCGGCCTCATCCCCGGTGACCCAGTTGCAGCATCATACGCAACATTATTATCACCATCAACGCACCGCTATCAGTCCTATCGGCAGCAACAGTTACAGCCAATTATCGAGATCTCAGCCACAATGGGGCGCCCTTCATCATTACGAGCCACCAACGATACGTCGCGAGGAAAACGGCAAGAGCTACCTAGAGCTTGGCTCAAGTTACCGAGCGAACGAGCGGTGTTGCGAAGGTTCCAAGTCCAGCTGGTGTCGGCGCGGTCGAGCCTGCTATCGGCAACGACGACTCGCCGTGCTCAACATCTCTATGTGCAAACTTGCCAGGTATCGTCAATTCCCGGATCCAAGCCTCCACCGATCGGTACTGATCTGCAACACTTTAAGACACTTAGAACGTGAGATGGAGAGGGACAGGAGTCCACCACCTATGGAACCGGTCGTACCGGCGCCGATCGCTCAACTGCAACCGCCCGAGCAGGGCAGGTTAACGCCTTTCCCTGTGTCACCGACGTCGTCGGGAGAAACCGATGTCGATTCCGGCATCGGTGACAGTGACGATAGCCGATCGATCAATTGGGGGAGCGTACTATCTCTATCGAGCCAGTCGCCGCTCGACCCGCTCAACAACAACGAATTACTGGATGTGGACATTGGGCCTGATCTCGACCTAGACTTTATGCCCGGGTGGAAGCTGACGCCTCTTTCGGCAGACGACATCCTAAGAAGTACAACGACGACCCAGGAACAGCATCATCATCACCACCATCATCATCACCACCACCACCATCATCATCATCAACATCATCACCAGCAGCAACAACAGCAGCAGCAGCAGCAACAACAACTCCTGATGTCATCGGGGAGCACTTGCGGTAGCAGCTGCGGCAATAGTAACATTATCGGAAACGCCGGCGTCAGCAACATTGGTAGCAATAGTAGTACGCACGAGTCGTTGATGTGCGTAGGATCATAGCCTCCAACTTTGACGTCGTTGAGTCATCTCATCGATTTCTATCCGCTGACCCCGCAGGGCAAATAAATCCGCGGCGGTAGCCGATGCAGCCCGTGATGAGTTCTGCGAAGGCACGCGGGCGAGAGACGGCGGTAAATACGGATCTCTCGCCTACCTTCCGGAGCGCTCGATATTCGGCCGGCGACTCTCGAGGAGCCTTTACCTTTCTATTTCGCGTTAATTTATTGTCGCGTCAAATACACATGTAAACCTTGATACATATAGAGACGTATACACCGATATCGACACAACCGTCTGTGACACTTTTGTTCTTCCTCCGCTCTTTTTACCACATCGCTATTACCATCGTAATCACTACCATTACTGACCCTATCGTTACCATTACTTCTCGTACTATCCCTCCCGCGACTATTTGCCCCACTATCGTTATCGTTACTTCTACTACTGTCGCTAGTAATACTATATTACTACTTTTGCTAGTATACTATTACTACTACTATTCTACTACTATTCTACTACTACTACTACTACTCCTACTACTACTACTACTATTATTATTATTATTACTATCACTAATCAACGTGTCTCCCAACGTATCTGCTCCCCGAGGGACGGACGCGTCATGACACGCGGCATCCGCAGGTGCAGACGAAATAGAGCGCTCTGAAGGTTTAACGAACGTTAGTTAAGAACGAGTTAAGAAGAGAGGACGGGTTGAGACAAGGAAAAGAAAGCCTTTAGCGTTTGCGTGTCGACAGGTACTCGCGATGATCTGGTGTCCTGAGAAATATTCAAACGGCAAATTTTGTATCGAGCTACCGCGTATAAGATCACGGAGACGCGTGTATCATCTTCCCCGTGGAATTTCGAGATGCAGGTGCAAGCACAATTTACTCGTATCTCGGGATAATTTGTCCCAAGATTTGAGAGAGGACTATTGATAATAATCACTAACCTTTCAATAGCGCGTAACAACGATCCGATATATGGAATCTTATAGAAAGATCGACGGCATCGAGGCAGTATTTCTGCAGTTGCACCTACGAGCTCGAGGATCCACGTGTGGATTTTCGGAAAGGTGATTAACATGTACAAGAGAATGCGCATAGAGATTCGAGAAGACGGACAGGGGACAGAGACAAAATGATATCGGTTACGTCGAGTACGAGGAAGCTTCCTCTTCGAGGCTGGAAAAACCTACGAGAACGTTGCGATCCAAGTCTTCCGGCCTGAGGAGCTTCTGCTCCTTCGCCGTTCTTGTTCATAAGTCGCAGCCTCCGTTCATAATGTCCCCGAGAGATTTTTTTTCGTGGAACGATATGCGATGTCGGGGTCCGCGTCTCTGGGAGGAACAATCGATGATAATTACCGACGATACTCACGTATATATATGTATACGGACACACATCCACGCGAATTCAACATATTCATACACACAAACGCGCGCTCGTACGCATATACAGACAGACTGTGTGTGGGTATGTGTACGATGCCGTGGCCTATATTACACGAAGAGACGTAGCACGCAAGTCGTACGGTGCTACAGGGCGACTGCATCTTGGGTTTCTATTCTCTGGACACACGAACACGTAACAGACACGGGCATACATTAAGCCGAAGACGTTTCAAATTCTCACGGATCGCTAGAAGCGTTCGTCGCTCGGGGTCCTTATGACGCGTGTCCTGTCGTCGTAAGCGTGATACGATGTAAGTCGGAGATGTCGGCGTCTCAATCTCAAAGTACTTTCGGCACCACCAGTCGCGCGGTCCAACATAGATTCTGCTTGTTCGGGTATTTCATCTCGCGTGCCGCGGACATTGATTAAAAAACCTGAGTTTGTTAAAAAGTCAATCAGATCCTATATCTACATGTATAATGCTCTTAAAATGAAAATATTTGACTGTACATTATTTTGTCTATCACTGATACATTGAGTGATGTGCTATCAGAGAACCCGAGAGCTAAAACGTCTATACTCTATCGCATTAAATAGAGTCGTAATTTATGAAGATTTATGAAGCAAATTATTGAACAGGTTGAATCGGGTTGGTGCAATTGGTCTCGATTTACGCGTTGCGAGAAAGTGGAAAAACAATGAATGAGAGAGAGAGAGAGAGAGAGAGAGAGAGAGAGAGAGAGAGAGAGGTTGGAACATTGCGTTAGAATTACGAGACATGTTTGAGCTAGGTATTAGAATACGCGTTTAATCCAATGACTGCATTTGTTTGAGAACGTTGCACTCAGAACAAAGTGAGTTATTCTTATACAGTTATCTCATTATACGAGTTATCTCATAATGATCTTTGTCTACCTTGATTTTTTACATTTTAGGATATAAACACACACACACACACACACACACACACATGAAGTGTAGACGCAGATATATATTTATTATTTTTTATTTTAATTTTAAAGCGCCACGATTTTTTTAACGCGCACACTCACTGATTCATAATAGCACTCTGTAATTAATTATTTTTTCAGCGAGTAACAATGTTTATCTAGAATTCTTTTTACCACCGCGACTTAGCGGAGAAGTGTATGCCATGATTGTCTCAATCACAAAGTCTAATCGCAAGTTGAAATGTAAAAATTAAGCATGCAGAGTAGTCCATTAGGTTTTCAAAGTCTATTAAGTTTCATCGCAACGCATTAACCCTAAAATGCATGACGTGGACTGGTATAACACGAACTCCGCATTAATTATTTTATCAGAATGTCCATCAAGCTTTCCACAAATAAACAATTACAAAAATATTAAAACATCTTACCAAGACAAAGAAAAAGATTTGGGCAACTTATTATACACTAAAATTGTCGTGAATAGAAGAAAGAAATGAGATATAAAATAAGAAAATACTAAAAAACAACCGTTTAATGAAAATCGCATTGAATTATAACGAGATAGAAATTTTTCAAAGATCTTGGAACTATTTGTTCCTTCAATGTCGAAAAGAGAATTATAAAAGTTGTAAAGGAAAATATAACTGCAAGTGGAGTACAACAAGCCACGTCGTGCATTACATACGTTTGTGTGTGTGTGTGTGTGTGTGTGTGTGTGTGTGTGTCTGTGTGTAAGAGATAAATAACGCGTACCAACGAGATTAACGCGAGACGCTGGCGCCTTCGTGTGAATATCTTGTATCTCGATATACGACGTCGACAAATGTACCTGCATTTTAGAGATCGGAATAACGTTCTCCCCTTCGGATCGTCGCATGGTGGCCACTGCGCGCCACTGATCTCCCGTAAATGTATCAAATTAAAGAGTGGCCGACGTGCGCGCGCGTGAAGAAGGCGAAACACTCGGAGTTATAGTCGATTGAAAAGCCCGCTCGACCCCGGACGCATCTTCTCGCGTGAATCTGTGCGCGATCTCGCCCTCAACGTCCACGAATCCATTAAAGAGCAGCTATACTTAAAAGCTAAATGATTTAAGAAAGTCTAATGTTACAAAAGAGAGTAATAATAATAACTTATCGACTCGACTGATTACTTAAACGCGAGGGTGAATGTGAGTAAATGGGAGTGCGCGTGCGAAAAACAAGGGAGAGCAAGCAGCGTACATATGTGTGTAAAAAGGGATATGACGTAGAATTATTGGGATATAAAGTTGATTTAAATTGTAATTATATATAATGATGTTCTCTCTTTATGATACGTGACACACACACACACACACACACACACACACACACACACACACACACGCGCGCGCGCGCGCGCGCGCGCGATACGTACACACGGAGTCATACGCGAAATATGCTAGGTACTTGTTGTACATATATATACGTATAAAATATGCGTTACTTACTAAGTCTAAGCTCTTAAGCATAAACGCGAATCGTCGCGAAAGAAGAGACCTTTCACACCTTCGTCCCACCCTGCGAGTCGCGTCAACTATCTTCGGTTCTTCAAAGATCCTTCCTCGAGTTCCATTTTCTACTTTGTACTACAACACACATACGATCGACACACCTCTCGCACGCGCATCTCCCTTCTTCTCTCTGCAAACCTTCTCCGTCCCATTTCACCAAACCGCTCTTCTCTGACGACAATGCTCCCTCTTCCTCCCTTTCACCGCGTGATTTCTCCGCGGAAACGACGAGCAATATTACTTTTAATAAGCTGCGGAGAATTTAAAGAAAGAGCGTACGTACAAATCCGTGCGTCTGATCGCGCGTGAGTGTCACACACGAGTCCTTTGCATATGCGTTGGGCGTTGAACATTAGTAACGGCGAGTGAACGCGGATGAATCGTAAGCCGAGCAGATGCAAAGGCTCGCATCTCTCAGGGAAAGAACAGTGTGATTAGGCGGAAAAGTAGCTTCTTTCCGATAGAGAGAGAGGGGGGGAGGGAGAGAGAGGGGGAGAGTTCGTATGTAGATTTCTAAAATATCCTAGCTGTAATTGGTAACTATTTTTCCTCCGTTAGCGTTTCACTGAACTTGTATTCGCCGGAATATGACTCTGACAACAAAACGCAAATCTAAATCTCTGTAATATTCAGGCCGAAATTAAGAGAATACTCAATTTTTGAGACAGCGGAAGCGAATTGATAGACGAGTTTTTTGTTTCTAATCCGATTTACCCTTCGGTTATTGTACGCTGAAGGAAGGATTCGATGTGCGTTTGACTGCTCCGCAAGAAAATGGATTGACACCCTTTTCTAGAAAATCTTTTTTTCTCACATGCCATTATAACTAATCACAATTATGATTCACTGTAATTTCAAGTACGATTGATATTCTGTCGCTATATGTTACTGTATATCGCCGATCTTTCATAAAACGTAAATAATGCTTTAATACTTGAGCAACATTTTGCTCATTATGTTTTTCGGTGGAGCAGCCGCGTTGTTCTTCCACGATGTTGTTAATCCGCGAGCGAAGCTACCGGATGCGGAGAATCGTACAGCGTACTCGCGCCTCGCGCCTGTCTCAAATCGCATACGTTTTCACAAATTGAACCCTTCCTTCTCTGCTTCGAGAAAGGTCGAGTGAAGTAATTTGATATTAATATATCTCAATCGAGGAAAGGCGCAAAAGTTTGTAGAGTATTTCTAAAAAATTAAGCATTCGCCGCATGACGCCTTCCGCGCCAGCAGCGTTTCGCAATCGTAGAATCGCACGTAACAGTTGGATAACGATCGGATGATGAAGATTGAAGAGAATCTAAATATAAAAGAAAAAAAGAATAATATTCTTATCGGTACTACACGCGATTTCTGAGTCAGTTTACAAAATTATCTGTAATAACAAGTATCCCTCCTTAGGGAAAATATTGAAATTTGCTTTTGCCTGCGAATTTTCTCTCAATGTCAGAAACGTTCGAGAGGCGCACGAGATCTTTGAGACGTTTTTCAAATGAACGTTATCGGGCGTCCTGGCGAAATGGTCCAACGCCTTAACTCCCATGCATAAGCGAAAGCGCGAGAACGTGCGAGCGTTGCCGGCATCGGCAGGACGTCAAGTTTTGTTCTTTTTTTTCGCGCGATCACACGCTGACGCGTAGCTCACGATCGGGCACGCGTATTTCGTCAAGTGCCTAAAAACCGCCGAAGGGAGAAAGTTACGACTGTTAAGCGCGACAGCAAGGCCGGACAACGCGGAGTTCTCGGCACGCTGACGTGCATACAAGTGGCAGCAGGGTGTGCGACACGATACTCTGACGATTATCGCGTTTCTTCCCGTTCTTCCCTTTCTCTTTTCTCTTTTTTCCTTTTTCTATCTTTTCTTTTTTTTTAACGAGATACCGAATAAAGGCGTTTGTAAATAGTATAAATAGCACGAGCGCGAAGATATGTTTAAGCGAAATGAAAAAGAGGATATAATAAGTTTAATATTGAGAAAAAATATATATATATAAATAAGATATATATTATATATTAAAGAAAAGTGTATGTATGCGTATACGTGTACATGTGCGTGTGCGTGTATATGTGTATAAGATTATTATTATTATTATTATTACTATTATTATCATTATTATATGCATATATATGTATATATTTAACTTGGTAAATAATATGAGGCGACGACGAGCACGTGATTGATTCTTCCTCATCGTCGTGGCGACATTCGGACGAAATTCGTTTTTATTCGCGTTTATGGCGGCTCGCGACCATTCAGTAATACTCGTCGAAATTCATTCTTTTTCTCGTGTTTACTGAGCAGTCCTTTCGAATCAATTTTATAATCAAAGATCGTTGCGTTTTTTATCGATTGTGCATAACTTGATAAAAACGTCATATTTTTTTCTTAGCGTAAACGCGATTTATTTTAAACTCGTAATTTGTTTCAACATCACGCTTATATTACAGCGTAAATTAATTATGATGATCGAGAACCATTTATCTTTGTATTACATCAAGAGCTTGAGCCGTCATCGCGCGAACCGATTTCTCCCCTCGACTCGGTTCCTTCGTCCCGAGAAGGTTGTAAACGCGGAGCAAAAGTTTCAGGCGAGAAAGGGACAATGACGAGCAGCCGTCGATTGGGAAGTGATCGGGCGCGCGTAATTCGGCGCCGTCGTAAGAAATTAGAGCAGGAAGGGTGCACAGCGTTATGTGTACATTGTAAATAGTAGAGCGATGGTTACAGAGAGAGAGAGAGAGAAGAGGGGGAGGGAGACATACAGAGATAATTAATTTAAAGAAGAGACGAGAGAGTAATATAGGATATAAATGAGAAAGAGAAAAGGGACGGTCGCGAGTCGAGGCGGTGTCGTCGGCCGCGTCGAGCAAACACACGGCACTTTCGGATCATCCTGATCATAATAAGCGCTATCTGGAAGTGCGTTAGCGACGGGACGACAAGAGTTCGGAAGCGTTCCTTCTGCCCCAACAGCACCTTTAGTGTTTCGCTTTCGCTTCCGTTTGCGAGCGAGTACGAGTCTGTGCTGCGATTGACCGAGCGATCGAGTGGAGACATGGCTGAAAATTATTTCGCCTTTTTCCGCGAACAAACTCTTTACAAGTCATTCGCCTTGATTCGACCCTAATGCCGTGCGCTCACAACGCGCGTGCCGGATATGCGCGTTTTAACAGAGTCGGAGATTTATATTCCGAGAGATGCGTAACTGTATCGTCGTCGACCACGCGCCGATCACTCGATCATAATGTAGGGCGTGGCATTGTGAGGCCGTTACGTCTGAAAAGAAAAAAAAAGAGAAAAAAACATTGTAAATTACAACGAGCGTATGACAAACTTTGAGAAAAGACCACCGGTCATCGGTCGTCGTCAGCAGGATGAAAACTCACGCGACTCGATCGGGCCCACGTTTTTACTTGCGCACAAAAGCACGTGTGCTCCTCGATCATTTAGGAATTGAGAAAAAAAATTATATATATATAATCGGTCAACGAATGTTACACGGGAGAGAAATCGCAATTACTCTAGTCCTATATGCGGTCGACGAATAATACGGCACACGTGTGTTCGCGAGTGATCGGGCGTGTCGCCATTTTCTTCGTTTCTCTTTGTTTCAAAATCGTGGAGTTGTATCACGTACTGTTCTACCAAAATATATTAGCAACAGCAACAGCAGAACTGACAGTAAAACAAGGAGTTGATTAATTGGATATGGCAAAGTTGAGTAAAAAGAAACTGCAACGCACGATATGAAAAACAACTATCAAAAACAATAAAGAGTATTATTCTATATAATAACAATGACTGGTATTTATTTGGAATACGGGCCTGAACGCGAATACAGATTCTTTAGATTCTTTTATTTCGTGTAAAAACGCGTTGATTGAACATAATTTCATCTGTATTCGCGTTCAGGCCCGTATTCTAAATAAATACCCAATGACTTTTACTGCACCTCACTTTTCAGCAATGCGGAAAGGCTGTCGAGATATAAACGAGCGCTTTCAGGTGATTGCTCGCCAAGCTAGATCAAGCATTACTACATTCAAAACATGATTTGCAAAGCGATCTTCATTTTCTCATATTATAGACATCGATGCAATTTGTTAGGAAATCAATCTTGTATGTACAATCTTCTGCGGGATACTATCATCAGGTTTTATCAAATCATTTAAATTACATATGATCTTTTTTATGGAGCTTCATGTTCAGCTTTTCGGACATTTGGAGAATTTGTTGGACATCTAGAGATTATGTTAAATATAATATTTACTTACAATTAGTCTCATTATATAGAGGATAATAAAATAGATTGTTTATATTTGAATTTAAGTATAAATGCGAATTTTAGATGTTGAACTTTAAATAAGAAGTTACTATCCAGATTAAAAAAGGTAACGATTTCTTTATACTTTATTATATTTTCATATCGAAGATACGTCTACAATCGACTCTTTCTGACGCATGCAAGCACATAGATTCGTTTCGCTGCTGGATACTGACACATCATTTTCAACAATGAATATTACAATAAGAATAGCATATAACTAGTCAGAAATATTGTTTTAACCAGCATAACAAGTCTGATCTGATTTGTATTTATATTCTTAAGATGTCTCTATATATATCATCATTTCGCTGATAACTTTAAGCCTCCATCCTTACAAGTATTCGGTCATAGAAGTTCGATAATTTTTTGCATATATAAACTTTTACTAATCGGAAAACTGTAATATATGAGATGAAAGAATAATTAGAATGAAGAATAATTTAGCAAATACGTATTGCGTCTATAGAAAAGCGTTTTCCTAGTACAATTTTTTCATAATATACTTTTTTCGATAATAATTGCACAAAGATAGATTTTAATTTGCTCTTCTTGTACGAAACTTTAATGTTCGATTCATCGTATATAATTACCACATGGATACTACGAAAATTATTTAATTTCCGAAGAAGCGCTAGTATTGACATAAACTTGAAGAATATGCGATGAATTGATATTCGAAATTACTAAGGTATCTTGCTCGTGCACCACAGTATGCTTTAACATATTTTTTTCCCCGTTTAAAGATCTCGTTACACCGGCTGCACTGGCACTGCATCGATCTGCCGTTGCGCGTTTAGCGTGCTTTAACATGTCATTTTTCTGTGAGAAACTTTTACCACAGGTCTCACAAGGATAAGGCTTAACACCCGTGTGGATTCTCTCGTGCACGATTAGCGCGCCTTTGCGCGTAAAATCTTTGTTGCAAAAATGACACTTGTGTGGCTTCAGACCCGTGTGGATCCTCATGTGCTGGCTGAGATTACTGGAGCATCTATACCGCATGTTGCATACCTTGCAAACGTATGGACGTTCACCGGTATGTATCCTTTCGTGGATTAGCCGTGCCTCTTTCGAAACAAACGAATCTCCGCAATAGTGACACATGTGTGGCCTCTCTCTCAAATGCATCGACTTCTTGTGATACATCAGCGAACTTTTACTTGCTAATTTCTTGCCACATTCGTCACATTCATAAAACTTATCGTTTCCATGTACGCGCTCGTGATTTAATAAAATAGCGCGTTTCGAGAATATCTTACTACAAATGTTACAACGCCATATTTCCTTGTCGGTACATTTCTTCTTAATACTGTCCACTATTTCCTCCTCGGTATGCTTTTTCCTATGTATCTTCAATTCACTCATGGATTTACATCTGTAGGCGCAAACCTATAATAAAGCGTACGAAGCAATTGATAACGTTCCCAATCAATTTTCAATGAGAATATGGCTAATATCAATGACATAAAGATAAGAAATTTAATAATTTATGTAAAGTTTTTACAAAATACCTACGCTGCATGTGTATCCTCCATTATCGTTATTATGCCGTTTCACGTGTGTGTTCATATTTCCTTTACGATTAAATGTTGCATCGCAAATCGGACATGTGTGCCTATTAGAGCCATGCAATAATTTGTGTTGTCGCAATTGAATCCTCCTATAAAATGCTTTTCCGCACTGTTCACAAGAATAAGGTCTGTTGCCATTGTGTTGATTCATATGTTCCCTCAAATGAAATCTATACAAACAAGAAATACGCAAGTAATATATAATTCTTTTTTAATGAATTTAGTTGAAATAATTTGGAGAATAAACCTCTATATATATATATATATATATGTATATACACACTATACCGTGATCTAAATGCATTGCCACAGATCTCACACACGTGTCTTTTCTTTATAGATTCGTCCAAATGAATTCTTTTATGCCCTCTTAAATTATTGGAATGCTTAAAGCTTTTTCCGCACAGATCGCAAAGATAGGGTTTATCTATTCTGTGAGTAGCTTCGTGAATATCTAAACTAGACCATTTCTCGTATGTTTTATCGCATGAAGAGCACTGAAATGATAATCGTCCTTCGTGCGATTCCATGATATGAATTACCAAGTCTTTTCTGTTACAATATTCTTTTTTACAATGACCGCATCTTTTATTAACTTCAATAAGATTTCCATGAAGATATTTATGATTATCATAATCCAGCTGACATTTGAATGTTTGGTTGCAAACAGCACAATGTAATGATTCACAGCTTTCAACATTATTGATAATTTGTTTGCCATCGAATCTTTTGTTGCACGTCTGGAAATTTTCTACTTTGCAATTAATCTGCTTGTCTCTGCCAGACCTTTTATTTTCTGCAGTTCTAGACATATCTGCACGTTTAGAGACATTTTGTTCCTTAGCACAAAACATTTTATGATTCTCAAATATTTTCTGTGTTTCACAAAAAGTTTGGCATTGCCGACATAAAACGCTAGGGCTTCCATTCTGGATCTTATCTTGTTGAATTTTTGAAATCTCTTCTGTGATAGTTACGTTACTTTCACTATTAACTCCTCTACTACTAGTCTGGATTAAAGTACTGAGTTCTAATGGTACAACATTCTTCGTAATGCTCTGAAAATTATTATTCTGTATTTCAGAACATTCTCCATTTCCTAATCCTCTCAAACTTGTTTCTGAATCAGAGTTCATCATCTTATTTATAGTAAATGAATTAGGATGCGTATCAAGATCCATATATATTTCTTCAACTATCTCTAATGAACATTCGTTAATCAACGCATTGTACTTATTCTCGTATTCCGGCTGCAAAACAAAACATTTATCGATTATACAACAAATGTACTTGGAAAACATTTTTTACAAATAAATGAATATAACTTTTAAAAACCTTTATAATTACGGTCGAATAACACACTTACCTCTCTCTCAATATTTAGAATCTGTTTCAAGCGCATATCAGTTCTTAGACATGAAACGACTAGTGAGTGTGCAATTTCCAATTTGTTACAGCAATCGGTACATACTTTCTGTGGCAATGAATCGTCTATGTCAATCGTGATAGGCATATGCAAATTTATTCTCTCTTTTAATTTAAGCTCTATGCCCTCGGCTGTAAAGATGTCTATTCCATCCAGAATGGATTTGCCACAGATTCGACATAAATTGGCAAATCTAACAGATACATTACGATACTCGTCTATCTCAATTTCATTCATATCGCAATACGTTTGAGGCACATCACCACCTACTTGTTGGAAAGGCTGTGCTTTATCAAACATATTTATTAAGTTTTCACCATCGATAGTCAAGTCGGCCCCAAATAAAGTAGGAATAGTACCTTCTTTTAAAACAATGGGAACAGTTTTGCTCACGTAACAGCGATCTTCAACGTGATGAGAACAAACGTAATATGTCAAATGCAATTCCGCATTCGATTTTGTGACTAAATCCGATCTGCCGCAACATTCCGCCCATACTTTGGCTCTGTAAAAATCATTGTCAAATTCAAAATTCAAACCAGTGACATAAGTCAAAGTACGATAATTACAGATACCTAGTTGTACTATATGTTAGCGATAACTATAGATAAATAGATAGCCTTTGAGCCCAACAATAAAATGAAGAAAATGAATTTAATTATCTAACTAATAATAATTTATCGAACTAAGCATCGCATTAAGAATGAATGCGAAAATGTTCCTTCACCTATCAGAAAATATATTGTGACATAACACTTACGTGTCATCGTTGGGAAAATTGATAAAAGTGACATTCGACGAATCCTCGCTTTCTGACGAATATTTACAATTTAACGCGGCGCAAACGATTCTCATGTGTCGGACGATTGTTCCTAATTGCAATTGTAGAAGAATATATAGGTTTTGTCGTCAAGACTGTACTCTCTCTCTCTCTGTGTCTCTGCAATTCTTTTTCTTCTTCTTCCTCTCCTTCCAAAATTCCCAATGGATTTCCAGCTCAAAGCTTAAGTCTCTGCGATGACTGCGATTCGGATACGCAGGGAAACGAGACTAACGAAAGTGGAGTAGTAGACTAGTGGATAGTGAAGTCAAGTCAATAATGGAAAGGTTAGGTTGCTGGTTGCTGCCCCCCCCCCCCCATTGCATTCAGCCCTGTTCCACAGCCGCCAGAGGCAGAGGATCAGAGGGTTGTAAAGAAACCACGTGATCGCTACGCCAATCTACTCACGTTTTCCATCAACTAATCCATTCGTGGCGCTTCAATTTAAAATTATACATATTCTAGAATATTCCACTAATCTTGTAATTAAATCCGTGGTTTCTTCATGCTAATTAATTTTTAATGAATAAAAGATAATGTAAAGTTGCAAACTGCCTGGAAACATAATTCACAAATGTAATTAATTACGTAATGCAATTCAGTCATTAATGTAAATATAATTGATGCTAAATCAGAAATATGTGTAAATATCGAAAGTGATGTTATGAAATAAATACGAATTCATTGGTATGAATATGAATCCGAAATATGAATAGCTCAATGATCACACATATGTATATTTTCATAACTCATGAATATGAATTAATTTAAATAGGCAAACAATCACGTGTTTTGAATAATTTAGTTATATATGTATAGTCAGCCAACCAGCAAACAGAAACTTAATAGCAACATATACATATATACATATATGTATAAAGTAGGAACAATAAGTTACAACTTTACAAGTAAATTATATAAACAGTCTGATATTATTCTCCGGCTGAATCCAATACATGAAATACTTCTGAATTGTCGATATCTAAGAACAAACATTTAAAAATGTCATTGTAGAACTCTGGATAATATTCGCACGCCCGCTGGCAGTCGGGCGTAAAATTTATTTCCAACAGCTTGGGCTGCATTTCGCAGTCTCTCCACTCCAACATCAAGTCGGCGGCGTAAACGGCTCTGCTTTGCGGACTCTCGCCTATTCCTTTTGGCGGCGGCTGCGCGACTGCAGCTTCGAAAGTTTGTCGTAAAACGGAAAGAACCTTCGGCTCGACACAAGTCTTCCAAGGATAATCAGGATACTGATTTTCCCATTCTACAATAAAATCGGCGCATTTCATATGAAACAGCGGATTCTCCTCGGTATAATTCATCACGGTGAAATGTTGCATATACGTATCAAAATTGTTCAATGCAAACGGTTGATTTGCAAAACGCAGAAAGAAATTTGCATAAGCGTACGCCCGTAGCGGCTTTACAGATTTGAGCAACACAACGTATCTCATATCGAATTTCACTTGATTCATGTCCGGTCTGTTGTACAAAATTGGCCGCGTGATGTACTTCTGCGCGATTTTCGGACCTGTGCAAGGCAGTCGCAGAATGTGATAGAGATTGTTCGTGATATGAGTATCTAAGCCTCTCGCCAAGTTCCACGGTTTGCAAATCCAATAATTATCCAAATTCTTGTCTACCCGTTGCGTAAAATAAGCGACAAATTGTGCCAATTCCGTACTTAGATTATACGTCGTCGGTAACCATGTTGGATAAGTCTCGAGAGTATCTGAATCGCACAATTTGTTCGTTGCTTTTCTTCTACATACAATCGATAAAAGATCCTTTGTTGTCAAGACATTCTCATATGGAAATTGATTTATAAAAACATGAGGCGAGGAAACATTTAATTCTTTGTACGTCTTGTAGTGAGATACGAGCCACAGGATGTCCGCCTCTTCTTCGTTGTCGGTGATTTCAAATGCCGGATCTGTCAAATAATTATTCACGTAACTGTACTGTGAAAATACCTTTAATTTTCTACCAGTATCTGTTTTGATTGCATCCAGGTTCTCTGGCAAACTTTCAGGAATATGACCTGCTAAAAAATAATCTGCATCTGGCTCGTTCTGTTGAAAACTTTCATCTTCAAAAGTGCTATGGGCCCAAGGCAACAATAGGGCACGTCTTTTTTTAGGATCCTTCGTCTGACCTTCTACAAAATCTCTCGTGACTTCATCCCCTGCAGCAACGTCTCTTATAGGAAATAGAAGCGTATAAATTACAGTAATTACACCTTCTGTCATATGCAGAAAAGGGACGGCTCTAAAATTTGGCTCGTTGCTATGGTTTATCGCTGAACCAACCTCATCCATAATATACCATACTGGCATTCTATCTTCTATCTCTCCATAGTTGACGGAATACGATTGATTGTAACGCCACATTTCGTCCGTAACATTCTTGATTTTCTCTTGCTCATCCACCTCGGTGTTTAATCCCATGAGAAAGCACATTCGATCAAGCAGACCAGGTACTTGAATTAAATTCTGTTGAACATTACTGACGTCGTATGTCCATGCATGATCAATAAGATAAATATTATTGGGATCTTGTGTGGAAATGCCACATTCTGTAGATACTATTAGCTTCCATGTTGGTTCTGTAACATGCTTCTCTCCATTTTCATATTCTACTTTTGTCAACTGAAAGACAAGGCCAGCATCATAAATCTGATCTTTTAACTTGTTGTATAAAACTTTCCAAAATAATTGTGGGACACCGTAAGACTGAAGTTGCGCTTTATGTGTCGCAAGAAACACATTAAATAAGTCAATACCATCCATTGTGAAAAATACATAAGCTGGCCTAAAACAAATAAATATTTTATTTATTACTTATTCTAATTAAGAACAACAAAGTCAAATATATATATATATATAAAAGAACCTGTCTCTTGAAATTGACACGTGCGAGATGTTGAAAATACAGAAAATAACCAGTTCATGTAAAACGTTGACATAAATTAGATAAATGTTGGCATTATTGCAAATAACGGTACACAATAAGTAAGACCGTCGAAACCCCCTAGAAGAAATTGACCAATCACATTTAAACAATTCGGTCATTGACCAATGCGATTGGTCAATTTCTTCTAGGGGGTTTCGACGGTCTCACGTCCCACGTCCCATGAAAAAGGCCGGCCGGGGGCCAGGATGGCTTGGGATGGCCTCTCTCCGGCTTCTCTTTAGTTCGTGATTCGTGTCATTCGTGATACAAATTGAGTGAGGTTAAGTTATCTAACGTACGAAGAAGATATACGAACTGCTAAAACTATCGGCTGATATAATGTAAATATAATGAAAATAAATCAGCATAATGAGCAGAACATCAGTGTTTCTTAAAAATTTAATTTAATTTATCGAAAAAATTGAATTCTGATTTTTTGTAGTATTTTATAAGTAGGCAATATAAATGCTTGTTCTAATAGTAATTAATTTGGTATTAATTTGCAACGTCTAATATACACATTTAACTTTCATGCTATAATTAAATGAAAGCATTAAAACCAGGATATATTTAAATATAGATATCTAATTGTTGAGTTTGATTTTTATCTAACCTATATTAATTCAAGTTCTCTTCATATACCAAGTCTTGTTTAGTTTTAGGTAATGACAGCTATAAAAGTGCACGGTGGAATCGATATTTTAAGGCTACCGGTAAACGAGGAGGAACATGTTTGTCCTCCATGGCGTATCAAGTATACCCAGTCTCACATACTCCATTCAAAGTGTTCCAAGAACGAGGATGGCTGCGGTACCAACGACGCAAATGCCTGTCAATTTTGCGTGTATGTTATTTGTTATCTTGAAAATATCATAATATCAGAAATGCAACTCATATTCTTGTAGATATAGTAATGCGTTAGAATTGCCACATATGCCAGACATGGTGTTTCCCAATAACGTGTTATCCCTCAAGCATCAGAATGGAGCGTCGCTGCAATTTAATGCCTTGGATGCTCTAAGATATGTTTCCAATGGAAAGATCAATGTACAGCTTGCTTGTGCGGAAGCATGGAAGGAATCGAGGTATGTGCAAAATACTTATTTTAAACTTAATAAGTTTACATACTTCTATATAAATATACTTTTTCTATTTACATGTATATCGACAGATCAGAAAGCAGTGAATATCTAGAAGAAAAGATCAAGCCTTTTGACTGGACATTTACTACCAATTATACTGGTACAATATCCGGCTTTAAAGTCGAAGAAACAAATGAGAGAATTGATATGGATAAATTAAAACAGAGAGATAAGATTATGTTTTATCACGATTTAACATTATTTGAAGATGAACTTCATGACAATGGCATTGCAGCGAGTTCAGTCAAAATTGTAAGTTATCTCATAATATACTTGTAATAATGTGCCGCAAAGTTGCATTTCATATCTCTTGATTCTTTTTTTCCGTAGAGAGTCATGCCTGGCAGTTTTTTTATACTATTGCGATATTTTCTTAGAATCGATAATGTAATGCTAAGAATAAATGACACACGTATTTACCATGAAATTGGGAAAAATTACTTATTACGTGAGTTTACATCACGAGAAGCTAAAGTTAAAGATATTCGTGTAAGTAACACAGCATGATGACATCCATATTCCTTGTCAAGTTTCAAACGAAGATATTAAAAGCATCGTCAAATTTATTTCTTTAATATGTTAAAAGTAGTTGTAATATGTATGAATATATTTATACATTATTCTGATTATTTAGTTGACTTGGAATTGATAATAATTAAAGTCTTGAACAATTCTGTATCGATGATTAAGTATAGGGAGTTAAAATATATTATTTCTCCGTAAGGTTTCGCCGGCACTCTTCCTGGAACCAAGCGCAATAGCACCTCATTTGCCATTAACTGGAAGTCGATACGACAAACTAATGGTACCTGAAAAAGAAGAAGTTAAATTACATGAAGATACAACTGCACAAAATGAAACTATGACTGAAAAGAAATTAGTACAATCTGATGAACATACGGCAGACAGTTCCATCACCTAAGGCTTGCGCCAGGATTTTGATGTTGCACGATGTAATTTTGTCGTGCGCGCGCGATAAATGTAAAAAAAATGATACGAAATATATTATCATACTCAAATCATTAATTCTTGCTTGAACATTTCGCGAATATATATGATTTTAAAGATGGAAATCGAAAAACAATATAAGAAAGTTTTATTGTCTCTTTATCTGAAATTTATGTTAAGAATTTATCACAATTGATCTTAATCGTGCTTGTCACTTTAGTATCATGTATCATATCTTTCTCTTTCACTTGATTTTTAATAAAAACTAATAAAAACTTAAGCAAAACTGCTGAATTAACTTTTAACAATGTGTTTCTTGAATGGCACTATATGCTTACTCATGCGGCGTCACAATCAGCGATGAGAAGAATACAATGAATTTTGACACGACCTTCAAGTGACCTCGAGCACGAAAAATCACGTTTAAACAGAGACAGAACGGAGACAGCATAACGGGTCGTTGTGAAATTTAGAACTTTGGTTTATACCTTTGGTAAATAGATTTTAAGAGAAATATAAAAGTACAGAAAAACCATTTTATAAAGCAATTTAAATATTGAAACAGAACATTGTGATTTCTTTCATCATCTAATTTTATAAAATGCATTAAAATATGTAATCATATGTTCTGCTTATTTCTTTTTTTATTTAAATCTACGATTTGTCAGAATCTCAGCCTGAAAATAAGTAGACGGATTTTCTTTCTGGAAGCTGAAAATTTTCTTGTCTTTGTCGAAAAAATAATGTCTTAGGTCTTAGGTAATGTAAAGGTAAGTCAAGATCTGCCCATTGTTCCTTGTATGACTTGGGCCTTGGGCACGCTTATCGCACCTAACTCGCACATCGAAATTTGCACTTGTTGCAAATTTAAATCGACGGAAAATCTCTAGCGTTATTTTTCTGTTAAGACTTGGTAAAAACATTCACACGTTCACACGAATTGCTCGATTGATCCTGGACCAGAAAGATATCGGCCTGAGGAACGAATGTCAAAGGAAGCGCGACTGGGTCTTGGTCTCTTGAATTAGATTCCGCTCGAAGGGCTTCAGTCCGTGTTCCACCATTGCGTCCACCTCCTTTTCTCTACCGATCAAGTAGAAAATAAATGTCAAACGAAAAAGGAGCAAGGAAAAAAGAGACCGAGGGAATTGACCGGTCGCGACTTTCGACTCGGGCTGGGCCGTCTTCGGTCTTCCACGGTGGTTCGCGGCCGCAAGAAACTTGGGTGAATTCTATCGTATCGACGGGTCGACGATAGGGCGAGAGGCGGTGTGAGGAAGAGGAGAACGAGGGGAGGAAAAGGAGGAGGAGGCTGGAGGAGAGGAGGAAGAAATGCAACAAGAGCAAGAGACAAGGAGGTCGTCGACGACAGCAGTCTCTCGTGAGTAGGCTTATCCTATTGCCTCCGTCCCACCTTATAGCGCTCTCACACGCTACCAGCGGGTGCGTAGGTGTTTCCGGCCGGCTGAAGAAGCACGGCCGTCTGCGCTCGTCGATCCAGAAGAGGACGGTCGAGACAAGATAGAGAGACGAGGAAAAAGAAAAAGGAGAAGAGGAGAACGAAGAGGAAAAAAGACGGAGTGATGACGAGACGTAGTAGCGAGAATAGAAGAGCATAGAGCGAGCGATGAAAAGGAAGAGAGAGAGAGAGAGAGGGGGGGGAGGAGAGCTTCGGTGCTCCGGTCGAGAGACAGAGAACACTCGGCCGGAAGCAGTTACTCGCGCGATGCAACGAAAATATCAGGGCGTCCGTTTCGCAATAGTTTTGCCCGCGTCCGCGCCCGGAGTTTAATATAGAATACTCGCGGCCGGCTCCGTCGCGAAAACATCACGCTGACGTCGACCGTACGCGGGTTTCTTGTCTCTCTTTCTCTTTCTCTCTCTCTCTCTCTCTCTCTCTCTCTCTCTCTCTCTCTCTCTCTCACACTCTCCCGTTCCCTACTGTATCCGTCCGAGAAAAAGATCTCCTTTCCGTCTTCTTCTCCTTCCTCTCTTCGCGTCAGACGGACGCAAAGCGGGGCCCCTAAAATTAGGCTCGTGTCCACTCGCTCGACGTGGCTCGACGTGCTACCGCCGCCACTGTAGCCGCCGTAGATGACATCGAAGAGCGCCGGAGACGGGAGAGCCGGACTCGTCGAAGGTCTTTGTCCGTGACAGTGGTGCGTGCTCGCGGTGGCACGTAGCGACCTTTGAATAGCAGAAACAAGGTGCGCGACATCGGCGACGGCGACGGCGACGGCGACACGTAACGAGGTTGACGAGGTTCCGTCAGATTCTCTTCTGTCCTCCCTCTCCGATATCGCGAAACGGGGACGGGAAGTACGGGAACGACCGTGACGTCATAGGGAAGCGGGATCTTATCGCGGCAATTCGGGAAGGCGTTCACATCCGGGACGCTACCGACTACTTACTCCGCGATGCTTTCGCTTCGACGCAAAAAATGAGAATGGCTGATGCGACTCGTTCGCGGCGGCGGCGGCGACGATTCGAAAGCGAAAAGAGGAGCGAAATCTTATATCGATTCGCGGATATTATTTCGGTATTTCAACATCGATGTTATTTGACGACTGACTTTGCCTAGAGGGCAAGAACGAAGAGCGAAAGAATGAAAACGTTATGTCACCTCGCAGGTTCCTATTTCGATACCTTGAAACTAGATCGATGTCTTCCTGCAATTTAGCAGCTGAAGGATGAAAACGTGATATACGATTATACGTAAGATGTAACGTTCATTTCTTCATTCTGTCGTTTTCAAGTCATAGACAATAATACCTTAATATCGTCAGAGACGAAATCGTTCTTTCGAGCCAAGTTTCCTGTATCTTAAATTTTTACAATATCTTTTCTCGCTTTTTTTTCAACATATAAGAGTCCGGATGAATAATTATTTCATATAATATATATCGAACGCATAAAGTGCAAAAGGCAAAGTAGATCAAATATAATAAAAGTCAAAACTTTTTCGTGGAAAAAAATCTATTTGTTTTACAATTCCTTTCTTTCGCTTTTCCCCGCTCCCCCCCTCATCCCCTCTTCCAGTCTTCGATATAGATCTCTCTTTTTATGGAGAAAATATATAACGTACTATGTACGTGTATATACATAGCGATTGGAAAGAACAGATTTATAGACAATCGCGCGACGAAGCGAACTCTAGAATCCGGACTCCCACGTTTATCCGACCTCGTTACGCGGGTCGTGCACGTTGAGAAGGGTGAGAAAGGGTCCGCCCGAATGATTTTCACAAGATCTCGACATCGCGCTTTAAACGCGGAAATCCAATGTCGACGTTTCTCGTGATGCCCCAATGTCTTGACATGCTTAACGAGTCGCTAAGAGAGGGCAATTTTCCGTTGCCGCTGCGTCGTTCGAGCGTGGAGGAAGGGATAAGTAACAACACGACGAGAGGGACGAGGGACGAGGGACGAGGGACGCCGACGAAGGGGAGAAAGAAGAGGACGAAGTATGGAGGAAGGGGAGATGAAAAAGGGAGGCCTGGTACTGGCTCTTCGAGCCTTCGTGGAAGACGACGGTGGTGGGAGGGTACGGGAGGAGGCGAGGAAGGAATGCCACTTCCGGTCACATGACACCACTGGACCAGCCGGCCACTTTGCTCTCTTCTTATTTTCGGCTCGTCACGCGTGTCCGGACCTCTTTCCGTCCTCTTTCTCCCTTACGCTCTATCTCTCTCTCTCTCTCTTGCTCTCTCTCTCTCCCCTCGATTAACGCGCGGCGTCACAAATCGGTCACGAACGAGAGAAAGAGACGCCGAACGCGCGGATGGACGGCCGGCTGGCTGTTTTTCGACTTTCGTTAACGATGTCGTCGCTCAGCGAGATCTCTGGTCGATAATTTCGAACACGGGATATACCATGCAGTCATGCACCTGCGAGTCACCGGTCGAGAAATATCGTTAGATAATACTTCCTTGCAGAATAAAGTTACTTTCGTCATTATTTCGCAAATATATCGATTTCTGGGAGAAACAACGCTGACAATGATCAACAGTGAAAAAACAAGGACGTAATGAGCGTAATGAGATTTTGTCAGTCTCGCGTTCACTCTACCTTCAAGCCAAGTTAACATTGAAAATTAAAATTCAAAAAAGGTATCCGTTCCAACTTAGTTAGCTAAAATCAACTAATTATTTTGTTATTTTGTTAATATTAAAGTATTCCTAAGTGCGCGCAAAGGGTCGCATCTTATACTTGATTTACGTACGCACTTGGAATTTCTTTTTCTTTCTTTCTTTTTTTTTTTTAATTACGCCCATGTGGCGCAAGACGTGTCACAATCCTGCCGTTAACCCTTCGTGCAGCTATACCGCTCTCGATTTTCTTCCTCGACAGTCTCGGCGGCGGCGGCGGCGGCAGCAACGAACGTTACAGCAGAACTACGTTGAACTGCATCGCGCCGCAGCCGGGCTAACGGGCTTACATCCGTTCGCTTCCCTCGCCGCCCGCCACGGTGTATCCAATTGCCCGCTGATGACGATCTGGGACCTCTTGGTAATGATCGCCTTGTCGATTGGCTGCAAAGCAAACAGAGCAGAAGCAGACTCTCACCGCGGCTTCTTGGCGATGGCAACGATGGCAACGACAAATCATACTCCTTCAAGTCTATGATATGCATGATCGACAACAAAAAAGGAATGAAACGGAATATCCAACGGTCTACTCTCTATTGATCTATTCTTCTGTCCCATCGCAACTGTTCTCGCACCCAAGATGTCTTGTCGTAAGAACGATGTATACCCAAGTTTTGCAATGAAATAAAACGTTGAGCAAAAGCTCAACTTGATGTCAAAAGTTAAAATGAATGGCCTGTTTTTAGATCATCACGTATGTATATATTCAGAAAGGAAATGTAGTTAAATAAGAACAGCATTATAATACAGAATATATACCTAGACTCTTCAGATTCAAAATTGTTACGCCTTACCTATCCATTTACCGAATTATATTTTTTCTTGAAACCTAACGGTACTTTATCGGAATTACATTCTGTAAAATGCAATTACATCGTGTGCTTTAAAATGAAAATGAAGAGTTTAATGTAAAAGAATCGAATTGGCGGGATGGTTAAACACGTCTTCGCAGATTTCTCTGCCTGACATGCCGAATATAGATGCACAAGTATATACATATCTATGCATTATATATACATACATATATATATATATATACATATTATATATATATGTATGTATATATATATATATTTACAAGACATATACAGATCGTATAGACTTACTATTAATAAAAACTTTTCGCTTAGCGACACACCCGCGTGCGCGCATATAAACGCGCGCATATGCATACTCATACATGCACACGTACATAAACACCCGCACTCGCGTTCCATTCACGCCTTCGTGTCCTTTCGCGCCTTCGCTAGTCGATCGGTGTGCAATCGCATTGTCCTCGGCGAACGTCCACGTCCAGTTTCGCGGTTTCAATTCGAGTCGAGTCAAGCGAGATAAAATCTCGCCGACCACGTGATCGACGTTAAAAGAAAAAGCATGCAAAATAAAGTAGAACACATTGCCATAGAGTACGTTGTGATGCATGCGTGAATCTCGGTTCTGATTCTATCCGGAAGTAAATCGAATTAAAAATCGAAGAGACGAGGCACCAATTAAACTACCAGATAAGACCAATGTGTGTGATTTAAAAAATTCTAAAAATCCGTTCGAAAACCAGATGTCGTTCGGTGGCTTGACTGGAAAACCATTTGTTCGTTTCCTCACTTGAAACGAAGAAATGCTTTTTAGAACGGTTGGGAGGACCGTGATCGTCAAGACTCGCGAATCGCGAAAAGACCAAGGCTAACTCGGCTCGCATCGCTTCACATTTACTCAGTTCGGTGTTTTCTTCCGTCATATCGCATTCATCTTTCATTAGAAACCTCGTTACGCCTTTTCGCACCGTCTAGACGTTCTCGCGCTGAGGCCATAACGCTCTTTTCGTGCTGTCCCATCATGCTTTTCTTATCCTCGTGGTCTCAATGCCCGCCCTTCGCGAAAGAAGGGTGAGCGAGCCATCGAGAGAGAAAGAGAGAGAGAGAGAGAGAGAAAATGCTCAATTTACTCCAATTCGAGCACGTTTTCCTCGAGCGCGTTCAACAACAGATTGCTCGAATTATCGTGACATCTCTTCCCGCATACCTGTCCGCAGTGATATCGCTCCTCGGCTCGTTTTCATTCTTACGCGATTATTTTGCCCATGCAATCGACCCAGTTATATCCGAGCATTCGCTCACACACAATCATTTGCCCACGCCTTGCGTTGAAATGCTAAAACCGAGTCGTACGACCCCACTCCGATCGATCGACTTCCAATCCGCGCCAAGATATTCGCGTCGAGGAATATCGCTCAAGGGGAAAACCACTCGCCGTATGCGATTTTCTTCCGACAAATTGATGCGGGTGATTTTTAATAAAGAATAATTGCCCTGGTGCATATCAGCGTTTAACATTATAACCATATTGCCATGTCCCTGCGAGGTCAATTCTTTATCTTTTGATTACGCGATTGATTACTTAGAACCGCCGAGAACATAAAACTCTATTATATTCAAGTGATCCGATATACGTGTAGAAGTACAAAATTTTCGTTAAACTTTTCATACTCCTACACATGCACGTATATGCACATGAATAACATATAACTCGTACAACTTAATAAAATGGTTTTAATGTTAAAATCATGCACCAGTTGCACCCAATGTCCCGAGAGAGGGGGGAGAGAGGGAGAGGGAGGGGGGAGAGAGAGATAAAGAGAAAAAATGGATTTACTATTTTCCGTGATCGGCGAGAAAAGCGAGTGCGAGTTTGTCTGCGATGTTACCGATCTTAACACAAGTTTCTATTTATAGCTAACGAAATCACTGGGATGGGAGTTGAGAGCTGGGGGGGGGGGGGGAATAGCGGGCGGTTTCCTCTTTCTTGCGACTCCATTTTCGCGCGTATACGTATGGCTGTATAGCCCGTTTTTAAATGACAAACGCTAACTGATAAAAAGGATACTCGCATAAGACTAGATAATACTGGAGAAAACATTAACAAAATGGGAAAACACGACGATCTGCGCGGGCCTCCGGTATTTTTCGCCTCGCATATCTCCCTCCAGTCTTTCCTGCTCATGCAACCATTGATTTTTAGCGCCATTACTTATAAATCATGTCGTAACACAAAAATCAAAATTTAAAACTCTGTTTCTATCTCTTGCTCTCTTTTCTCTCTTTTCCCATCTCTTTTACCGTCAGAAAACTTTCGCCATGCTAGCAGAGTTTGACTCAGCGGCCACATTGGTCTATGCGTATACGTATTGGTACAATTTGCTTACGTTTCTCTGTCCCCTCTGCTCCCTTCATTCTATCAATCGTCTCTCGCTCTATCATAAACCATACGCTTAGCGTTACAGCCGCAAATAAATTAACCGTAGAAAAGTTTGTTCTTTATACAAACATAATATACAATATACATTTCTATCTATCTATCTGTCTATATATATACATATATATATATATATATATATATATATATATAATATTCTTTATCTTTTTTTCTTTCTTCTGTGGTTTTATTAAATCCCTCCCCCCTCCCCCCTGCCCCAGACCCCGATATATTACCGTTCGTTCGATTTCACTCGGCGCGTAGTACAATGCGTATAATTCATTTATGTATAGAATTATCTATGTGTAAGTGGTATGTCTGGACGATACGCTCTACTCGCGTACTTTATTCCTCTCTACCGTTCGCGCACGCAAAAACACGCACAAACACACGTACGGGCACAGACTCCTTTCGTACATTACTTTCTTTCTTTCACTCATTCTCTCTCTTTCTCTCTCTCTCTCTCGCGCGCGCGCGCCCGCGCATGCATGCAGAAACGTACCAAGCGTGAACACACAAGCATTCGCACCACACATACGCACGCACTTTTCATGGAGAATAATAAATAGACATTCGCAGCGACAAACGTACAGGTTCGTCAAAATCCGATATTGTTCTTCTCGACTTAAATGCAGTTCTTGTACTTGATGCAATTCGCTTTTGCTCCCTCTGACCCCTCCCTCACACACGTCCGATATGTCCATCAGGGCGGGATCCTATATATTCCTGGATTTCTCCATCTTGTTCCGGTCACTGAGACGTGGAAAACACGCGGCATTTTCACACAGATAGGCCTTTCCGCTCAAGGCTCCGGCGTGACTGGGTCCAACAGCCTCTTCTCCGGGTCCCTCGAGTCTCCGATGTCGCTGGTGATGGGATGATGCCTGCTACCGATCGCGTTTGTATTGCAACGGCAGCCCTGTGCAGCGTGACGCGCGTAGCACGCCTCGCAGAGGGTTACGCAACCTCGGAGGGGCCAGTAGCACAACAGGCAGGGCATCACCAGCGCTAAGGCGCCTAGGCAGGCCCACCTGGACGCCGTGCGGTTACCGGTGCAGGAACACGGTTCATCCGCGCAGCTCGTCGCGGCAACTTGACCGTCTATGGTGCTGGCGACGCTACCGCCATTGCCGCCGTCCACGCAGTGGTAGAAGAGGCCCTTGACGCAACATAGGCACGACGCGTAGTCTAGAACGGTCTCTGCCGAACAGAGGCACGTGTTGTCGCAGAGCCACTTGCTGGGCAGCGGAGGCGGCTCCCGGCACGACTCGCATCGGCATCTACCGCAAAAGTCACATATGATCGACAGACCAGCCGGATCGTAGGTCCTCGTGCCAAGCGTGTTGGCCGGCTCCTTGGTGAAGGAGACCGGTTGCTTCGTGACAACGTTCGTTGCTGCCACGTTCGTCGACGTGGCGACAGGAGAAGCGCCGGTCGCCGTGCCGCTGAAACCGCGTATACTCTGATTCTTAGCGCGGCCGCGCGCTCGATGCGTCGGCACCATCGTGGCATCTTCGTGACTTCTACGATGAGAATGGTGGTGATGGTGATGATGCCTCCTCTCGGTTTTAGGACAGTCGGCGGCCGTCTTGCTGTCGACATCGAGACGTCGTTCCTGATTGCAGCGCGAGTTATTGAACGGTGCCTCGACGTACTCGTTGATGGTCCTCTCGCCGTCCGGCCGTGGCGTGGCAAGGCTCACCTCGCCGATCGGGCTCCTAGGCGACGTCGCGATCGTCGTTATCGTCGTGTCTGTGGACGATAGCGAGAGCAGACCTCTGGAATTGGCGTCGCTCGGTGACATCTCTGCGTTCTGCGGGCGACGCAGGGACGGCCTGCTCCGAAAGGAACTCGACAACGGCGTGAGAGGCATGGTGAGCGGTGCCACGCGGGGCGTCGGAGACCCCGGTACCGATTGCGACGCCGAAGGTGGCGGTGGTGGTGGCGGCGGCGGCACGGACGGCATCGACGTCGACGTCACGTGCACGAGCGGCAACCGCGGCGGCGGGAACGGCCGGCTGTGATCGTGCACGCGCGTCTCGGTGGAGACGAGACGCGAGTCCGCGTCCTCGCTGGCGCCGTTGGCGCAGTCGTCGCCTGCGGCAATGTTTGCCCGCGAGGAGGGAGACCGCGTGAGCGGCGATATCGCATCGTTACGCGACATCGGCCGATCGCTCAGTTTTAAACGTCCTGCTGCTCCTGGACTTTGTGACGTTGGCGTCTCGAGATGACGCCGCTGCTGTTGATCCTGACAATATTGCCGTTGCCAATGCTCCACCTTCTTCGTCGCCTCCAACTCCTCCCTCTCCTCGACTCGACGATGCTCGAGGCGGATACCAGCCGTGCTAGCTGGTCCTCGATCTGCTGCGGAGAATGATCCTCCTCGTGTGTTTGTTGTCGTTGCTGCTGCTGCTGCTGACAACGATGCTGCGGCACGACCTGTCCAAACTGGTGCCGTCCGCTCGCTAGCCCATCGTTCGACGGACGTCGTCGGTGTGTCTGGAACCGATGGACGCTGATTTGACGTTGGGGTAAGTGTCGCCTCGGTAATCCGCACTGCCCAGCCCGCGCGAGGTGGTGACACTCTCGACGAGGGCGTTCCATTAGCGAGGATGGGGCTCGGTAATGCTCCGCGTCCGCTTCCTCTCGCCCTCGCGACACGCGCTTCATCCCCACCTGAAAACATCACAACCAACAAGTCGTGTTATATACTCGATTAGATTAGGTGCGGAACATGAGCTATCTACCAACTATTTTAGCTATCTACCTATCTTAGCACCGCATTTCGATAGATATCCTTAAAATGCTAAAGTTCTTCTAAGCAGTTATTTTATTAAATGTTTATTTATATAATTTACATTAAATGTCTTTTTTAAATAAGTTTTAAATAAGTTTCCAAGTTCTTTCCAATAGCGAATATTCTTTCTAAAAAAATTAAAAAAAAAGCGGTATAATCTTATAGTCGAGGATCTTTCCAAGATATTTCAACGAGAAACAATGTTGGAATTGAAAGCCAAGATTCACAGGTGAGAGAAGTTGCCAAGTGCAGAGAGAATTCTAATGAGAGAGTTCTGGGGCTTGATTTGAGTTTTCGAAAATGGAAAAAATTGGAATGGCCGAGCGACGATGACGACAATGACGACGGGGTATAGCGAGGTGTCAGATCTCAGCACCTACGCGGTCACGAAAAGAGGTTCCGTTTCTACGTGGGCGAGAGCGCGGTACGAGTGGGCCGCGCGCGGCAGAGTTCTCGATTCGGTGGTCGTCAACCCACTCGCGGCGCCCACAATGTGGAAGAACCGGGAGAGTCTCGTTCGAGCGCGACCGATCGCGACCTCGACAGCGCGCTTTTACCTCGACTAAAGCGTGGAACTTATCATTTTTATACTTTCGGCAAATGGAAAGCGGAAAGCGAAACGTCCCAATGGCGTTATGCGTTATGCCTATCGCATTTCGGCGTTGGGATTGCGTCTGTAACATGAAAAAGGATTTGCTCTACGGTATCTGACCATTAAATATGTGCGACATTTACTGTACGAGGTGAGAATGAAGAGTTCAGAATCAGAAAAAGAAAAAAGAAGAAAGCGAGGATCGGAATTGAGAGCTGAGAGATGAGGAAATTGAGGGCCAAGAGTGATAGAGACTGAAAGAGCCGGGCGTTACTTTCCGAGAACAAACTCTTAAACGTTCTCCTCGAACGTATACTCCTCTACGAGTGCCACTCCCGAGTTACGCGCGAACCTGTATGTGTTGTTACATCGATTACCCGCGCGCGCGCACGCGCACACACACACACACACGCGAGTGTACACGTCGTTCGCTCATTCACCTGTGAGCCACGGCGATTGACGGCATAGTCGAGGAATGGCGTAGAATTAGATTCTGCGACCAACTCGTAACACACGAACGAGTTCCCAGCGCGTTCAGCTTTCGAGGCGCGTCCGATTATTACCCACGTTCCGAGAATCGTGCGTATATCGAGATCATTAATCGTGGACGCTCTCTGCGAGTTTCCTCCGCGGCGCTTCGTTTTATCAGTCGCTCTACTTTGTCGTTTCCTCTGGTATACAGTGCGCTTCGATTCGCGGCGACCCGACGCGATTATATCGATCCTGCTCGAAAATCTTGGGACGTCTGTTCCGTTTTCGCTCGAATCGGAGTTAACGTTCCACTTACGCATTACCGTGCGACGCGTTTTCGAGCCGCGACCACGAGGCGCGTGAATCTCGAATCAAATACCCCGAAAACATCCATCCATGATTCTCTTCTCAAGGATCTATATTCCTTGCAAGCTTGATATACTGAATCGTGGATAAAATCCTCGGATGTTGCCCAACGAATACCTTGTTTACACCGCGAACTTTCTTCGCTTACAATCATTTCAAAATCACCATAGATGCTTTATTAATGCATTCGATGTGAAAATTCGACTTGCGCCACTCGCGAGCGCTAGACGATGCCAGCGGCGGGTGGCGGGCGGCGGGCGGCGGTTCTCGCTCGTCGTCGTCGTCGCGGCGCGGTGCGGCGCGGCGGAGCGGAGCAGCGCCGAGCGTCGAGCGATCATGGCGAGAAACAGGCGGGCCATTCAGAAAGGGTGCGCTCGGAGTGGAATGCACGGGCCGGCTATCGTCGACCGACTGCCATAGGTCAAAGCTTTTAACCACTCCGCGCCAGCCGTCCGCGCCGCACAGATAAGACGAGCGTTTCGCGAGCGAACGCTCGGCGAGAGAGCGGCTGGGGCGCTTCCACACGTTCTCCTCCCGGTTCGATTATAATTTCGCTGGCCGTTACGATTTCGCTGAATCTAGCGTCCCACGCGTGAAATGACGCGAAAATGCCTTTCGACCGGAATCCGCCGAATAGTCGGCCGAATGTGCGAATAGAATTGGCGACTGAAGAATACGAAAAGATTGAATACGAAAGGAATTAAACGGTGAAAGGGGACACGAATTAGAGAACAACATAATCGATTGTGAGAGAAAGAGAAAGAGAGAGAGAGAGAGAGAGAGAGAGAGAGAGAGAGAGAGAGAGAGAGAGAGACTCGCTGTCAAGTGTAGGAGAAATCATAATCCTAAGTAACACGCGATTCACTAGCGCGTAACTTGATAAATTGTCCGACCCTTTCTTCTTATAGAGGAATACGGTCTAACATCAATTTATTCCCATGTGGTTTTACACCACGGCTATTTATCGATCCGATCGTTAACTCTTTCCTGATTCGCGGAGATATTTGAATTATTTTTTCATCGCAGATATATCATCTTGGCGGATTTTCCTGGTGACGATTAGACGAATGCCGAATCGATCATGAATCGATGATTCGCGTCGCGCGTACATGAAACATGAAACATGAAACGAAACAAGTTTGTAGAAAATTTCCGATAAATCAAATGATGAGAGCGCGATGATTATGCGCGACAACATCCGCGTGCCACATTGCATGTTTGTCGAGTTCCTAATGAACATTATATTACGTCGCGCAAAAAAAAACAAAGAATATCATCGTCGCGCCAAGTTCGAATAATCTTTGAATATAATCATCGTTTTTTATGTTTTTATTATATCGTGTATAATTCTGAAAAAAGAAGTTATAATTGACAATCGGCAAATCGCATCGACGTGAAAGTTAGACGTAAAAATAATTTGGCAAGCACGCGGTGATGCTCGAATATTATTCGTAAATCGATGATATATTCATTGATTTACGAGACAAGCTTTTTCTGATTTTAAATCGAGCAAACGAAGCAAAAAGCACGATGTTACGTGAATGCACACGCACCATGCGCAGTTAGCACCGTCGTCGCGCGCGCGGCATAAACAGTTTTTAACGCTAGTCGGAAACGTCCACGATAAGAACGGATAAGTTCTTCCTCCGATATCGGTTTCCTCTGCGGTCTAGATATATATGTACAACCAACGAATCGTCGCGCTAGCAAGTTTTGATTAAATACACCGATAAATCGAAAGAATTTCGGAATATTTACGAAACGTCTTCGACCGTAAACCATAATAATTCGCGTGTAGCAATATTATATTATCGCAAAATTTTGTAAATCCGTGGAAACTTGGGGTGATAAACTATCCGGCTTTGAGCAAAATAGGTCCTAGCAATTGTCGTAATTGGCAAGAAGCAATATCATTCAGAGATTTTGTTAAATTGGAAAACTTGTCTCAAGAGCGCGATCAATAAAGACTATGAAGCCTTGAAAAAGAAATGATGTCGTGATGTATTCAATTCATACAGCAATGTTGTAAACTCGTAGAAAATTTCGCACTTTCTGTGGATTTTAGAAAGGGGAAGGGAAAGATAGGCAGAGAAAGAGAGAGAGAGAGAGAGAGAGAGAGAGGGGGGGGGATGTCCAACGAGAGGTTAGCGTATCCAAAACTGTTTTCAAGTGCGGAGAACAGAGGAACGTCTATCAAGTCATTTTATAAATCGCAACGAGATACGATTATACATTAAGATATATATCTACAAGACAGATTTGAGTAGGGGACTGTGTATTTAAAATGTGAGCCTTATGAATACGCGGAGACTCGTTCACTGTGCCTTTTTGCCCCTTTCCCCCGCCCACCAAACCCGTTATCTGTCGCATCGAGACTAGCCAGCGCTAGAACGTCGCGCATAAAGCTCCTTTGATGCCAACTCATGAATCCCGACGTTTTAATATAGCGGCCTTTAATTCCGTTCGGAAACGAGCGCGATAAGGCCGGATACGGTTCTTCTTCCCGTTATCTGTTTCCCCGGCTGTTTCAGATTCGTGCGTAGCGCGATCCGCTAACGAGTTTCAATTACACGGGACGATGATAACGCACGTCTTTCCTTCTCTCTGCGCGGCGCGCGCGCATATAGTATCGCGGCGCGTAATTGCACGTAGAAATCCGTACGATTGCTGGAATCTCGTGAAATTCGTTGGACCACGGTCGATTACGGTCGACACGCTCTCGTTGCCCAGATACGCGGTAACGCGGAGCGGTGTGTTATAAATGTTATAATCAGAGTCACCCGCACGCGCGCGCGTGATTACGATTACGGCGTTGAGTCTTCCATCCCGTCTCGCGCGTCTATATACAAAAGACATGAGAGAAGCGCGGGTAACGAGGATTTCTACAAGTTCTAACAACCGTCGACGTCAATTAAAACACTGCAACGTTGCCTCGTAGTTAAATTGACAATTTTTAGTCTCAAATCCCCCCCTCGTCACATCTCTGCCTCGTGATGTAAGACTACTATTTGAAAAGAGAGAGAGAGAGAGAGAGAGAGAGAGAGAGAGACAGAGAGAGAGAGAGAGAGAGAGTCCCGCGCGGTGAACTAATTAAATTTATAATTCAGATGCAGATTAATTCGAGATTAATGTCGCTATTAATGCAAAACTTTTGGAAAAATAAACTGCCCAACTAACTAATTAACTAACTGACGTTTAGCTGGCTTCACAGTTCACAATCAGTTAACCGCCGCGTGGAACTTTACGGTCGCAACTTCGATATTAGCGGATGTACATCCGGTCCGCAAGATAACGAATTGATTGTGAGAAAAAAAAGGAAGGTTGTATTCTTGCTCAGAAATCTTGAAAAGAAAAGATGCTAAATAAAACCAACATAGTTGTACAACGATAATTGTTTATCAGACATAGTTGAGAAGCAGATTAGACAAATTCTAATTAACATCTCTCGGG